GAAACAGCAATCAGCATATAAACAGCAAAAAAAAGAAAAAAAGAAAAAAAAAGAACAGAACCCAAAACTCGCAAGGATGATATTGTCCTCGATAGTGGTGGTGGGTGGTGGTTGTCGCGTCGGCGGTGATGGGTGACGATAGTCTAGACCAGGTTATTTGATGTCATCAAAAACCACTTTAAGTTAAGTCCAGATGTCCAAAAACCCACCTTCAACACTATATTCTCCGAGACCGTCCTCGAAAAACACGTCATTCGCGTCATCTTTGTCAATCTGGAGCCTACCATCATCGACGCGCCATCATCGTCCATCTTCGATCTCTACTATCCCTCAGGTCCCTCAGAGCATCTCTGATTTGGAGCCTCATGTCATCGTCGACTAGGGTTAGGCACGGGCTAGGCTGGGCTGAAATTTGAAGGAACCAGACCAACCCATTTTAAAATGTTACGGGCCGGGCCAGGCCGGGTAAAGGAATTTTAAGTTTAGGAACCAGACCTAACCCGGCCCGTTTGAAACGGGCCGGTTCGGGGCGGGTCAACGTGGTCTTTTTTTTTTTTTTTTGGTTTTGGGCATACTGAGATTGAAGTAGAAGAATGAGGAAGTGGTGGTGGCAGTGGCTACGAATTCATAAAAGACAAAGGGTATGTTCAATGAAAACTCAAATTCTCTAACAACTCACAACAAATTCACAAAAAAAAAAATTAAAAACCTAAAAAAAATTAACAAAGGGATGACCTCGTTGAGGTCGTCTTCCTCATCACAAAAGAGAATCAGTGAATTTAAATTGTGTGCTTCCTCTCTTCTTCTTTATGCCTTGCCAACAAATTCACAACAAATTCTCTTCTTCTCTTCCTCGTTGAGGTCGTCTTCCTTAAATTCTCTAACAACTCACAACAAATTCACAATATTTTATTCCTCTCAACAGCAATCCACAGATTAGCAACATCATTCACAAAACCCTAACTGCAATAGAACTCAAAGATACATAGACTTTTAGGGGAAAAAAGAAATTACAAGTGCTTTGTCGACCGATTCGGACCAGATTTAGAGTTTCAGCTGGGCTTCTGTGAGTGAGGGAGCAGAGGCAGAATCGAACAAACGCCAGGAATTGGCCGATTCGGATCGGATTGGGAGGTCAGCGTCGCGCAATCTTCGTCTTCTCCGATGGTGAGGTGATAATGTGTCATCGTTGTCGAGGGGAAAAAGAGTGTGGGTGGGAGGAAGCCTCAAGTCGATGACTCGAGTGTGGGAATCTCAGCGGCCTTGTTTGGGATTTCGAATGAATAAAATTTGGGAGTGGGTTTTGCGGGAGAGAGTCTTCGAGAAGGTGTGAGAAACTGTGGTGGAGGTCGCGGTAGGGTGTGTCTGCTTCGGGAATGAGAGTTGCAGAGATGGGGAAAAAGAAACAAGGAGAGGAATGAGGGAGAAGGATCGAGAAATTGGGGGTGTATGTGTGTGTGTGTGTTCTCCGAGAGGGAGAAAAAGCATCGAGATTGAGAATCCCTGGCTCTGCCACACCCAGTAGACAGTAGGTGAACTTAAAGAGAGAGATCGATTTTTATTTTTTTAATATGTTGATGCAATTATGAACTTGTAGGACTTTCGTAGCTGATAAGTACAAGTAGGTGCGAACAGTGGGGGTGGGTGTCTGACAATGTTCTCAGTTCTCGAGAGTGAGAACTCACGGGAAGCCTCGGAGAGTGAGACAGTAATGTTTTTAAATTGGGATGTTACCCAAACGGGTCCCCGGGTACCCTTTTTTTTATTCTTATAGACCCGGCCAGCCCTTAAAATTCTAAAACCCTGGCCCGGCCCGGCCTGTTTCTCTTTTTAAAAATTAGGAACCGGCCCATACCCGTCCCAAACCTTGATTACCCGCCCTGACCCACGGTTCCTGTACTCGTTTGCCCACCCCTATCGTCGACGCCATCTTCGACGACCGGAATCGGGAGACAGAGACATCAAGTTGAGATTAAGAGAGATGAGCGAGAGAGATAGGAACAATGGGTGATCCAGATCTGAGATTGAGACATAGAGAGAGATTGTTGTGAATTTGTGATGGGGTTGGGAAATGGAACTCAATCTCAACGGTGTAGATTTAAGTGGTTTAAATCAATGGTGGAAACGGTCCGGGCCAGGGGCCCGTTTCCTCAAAATTTTGGATCCGCCTCGCCTCGCCCTATTTTATATTTAGAATTTTTGGACCCGCCCCATACCCACCCCGAACCGCTTGTAACCGCCCCGACCCACGGGTCCAAGGCCCGTTTGCCCACCCCTAATTCAATTGATACGAAAGTAAATTCTGCAGGGTTAGGGTTTGGGAATATTATCCTTTATTCTTAAAGTTTTAGGTCTTAGGTGCCAAGGTTCACGCTTCGGGCATGATGCCACACCTTGGCAAACCTTGATTTTATCATATGTTTGTGGTAGTAATCAGATCCGAGAATTTGGTAAACTTCCGCTTTCTACACTGCTGCTTCAGGGGCGAGTTAGAAACATGGAATGACGAGAAAAGTATTCTCCATTCAAAATTCGATTGGATTTATAAACTTAAGAATTGTACTCATTCATGGACGTAATCATGGTGTGCTTCAAGCAATGTTTTTCATGATTAGACGGTCCATAGGAGCAAGCAAAAGAGCCATGGAATCCTCATTCGAGAGGTACTTCCGTTTGTAATGCTTCGGGCATAAGTATTCGAATGAATATCATGGCGGAGGCTTATTCAGCTCTTCCATGCCATTATTGGCTTCAATGGTTTCTCAGCTTCTTGATAGTCAAGTGGAGATTCACGTCCTGTACCCCACATAGAGTGGTTTATGTTAGAAATGTCCAAATAAGGGAAATTGAACTTGTGACGGTTCGACAATCTATTGAATTTGGAGGGAACAAGATTGTGATTAGTGTTATGGGAATGGATCATCCATTACCATCAAAGTTAGAACATTCGAGTTCTAAGACATGGTTTTCATGAAAAACGCTAGGTTTTCATGGGTGTATTATTTTATGAAATCTTCGGGTTTCAAAGGTACTAAATTTGAAACTACATGTTCAATTTAGTTTATGAACGTTTAGTTCATAAAAGAGAGGTTCATGCAAGAACACAGAATGCAACATGCTGATTTAAGTGTAGTGGATTTAAGGTTATTCGGGAACTCAAGTGTGAGAGCTTCTTTACTACGAAAGTATGTCAACGGTTCAAAGTATAAAAATAAATTATTGAATTGTTAATGTCTAAAAGTGATATTCAGGTCAATAACTTTGGATTCATTATCAGATTAATGGATTGAAGGTCACTTTTAATTAATTCAATCAATCGGGCCATACATGGTCGATTGTAGAAGCAATAATAATATTAACATACGGGTTAAAATTATTTAGAATGCTAAAATAATAGCATTTGGGTTGAAAAATACTGCCCCAAAAATAATTAGGCTCGGGTTGGGTGTCTTGAGTAAGAGGTAGGGCCCTAAATGGCCTCGGGAGTGGGCTGCAGGCCATGGGGGTGACGGAGAAACCCCAGCTGCAGCTTGGTTTCAATTTTGGGTCGAAGGGGGGGGGGGGCACGGGTTTAGGCTTAGCATGTTTGCTGGCTTGCCTAGTTAGTTACAAAACAAAAAATATTGATATTGTGTTGTTTCGAAAATTGGAATCACCTTCTTCTAGAACTCGTAAACCCTTTTTCATATGAAATTTTTCGACAACGGTGAAAATTTTGAAACAGATTTCTCTCCCTTTTTCCTACGCGACAAGGAAAAAACAAAAAACTTAGGAAGAGAAAAGGGAAGTGAACGATTGAGAGAGATGGAGAAAATGGAAAAGAAACCAAATATTAGGCGAGCAAGAACTTCACGTGTATTCAAAACGAAGATCTTAGGCGAGCAAGAGAAAATGGAAAAGAAACCAAATATTGCACTCATTAGTCTTACCATTCAAAAGAAAGAATCAATAAAGGTTACCACTTGCCACCAAACACAGAAATTTTGTTCTTCAAAAAGAAATTTAACAGTAACTTGTAAGAAAAAGTAGGCCAACCTGGAAGACCTTCAAATACCATAATTCACCCGCACGCACGGCACTTTCTTTCTAACTTATTCCCATAACCCTACTACTTCTCTATGTGCCTTTCTTTCTTTCCAATCTCAACACTTGTTCTTTGTTGTACACAAACCTTACTACAAAAGACACGTGAACAAACCATATAGATTATAAAAATGAGTTTTGTTCATTTAGTCATCTGGTAATTAAAGATTCATAGTTGTTAACTTACAAATTTAATATGAAGTATTGAGTGTAAAATAAGAAAATCACATTCATTTCCTTTTCGCCCTTAATACCAAGGAAGAACTAATAAAAAGTCCTTGACAAAACTTTTTTTCTATTATCGAAAAACATTATTGAGGACATTTTTTATATTACAAGGACAAAAAACCAAAAAGAAGTCACACTTTATAAGAGTTTTGAATTAAAAAAATATTCTTAATAATAAAGAAAGTGTCATTAATGATAAAGGAAGTTGTTTAAGAGTTTTTTTATATAATTTTTTTTTTAAGATAGACCTTTTATTAATTTTCTATAATAGAAAATCTAATGATGAGTGACCTGTATTCCTAAGTCAGATCGAGATAATATTTATGTTTTTTGTATTACAAGTGATGGTACTATTTAAAGCTGTATTGAGAGGAGTGGGGATTTGAACTCCAACGTGCAGCTAAAAAAGACTCTAACCACCAGGATAATCATCTGCTTACATATATATGTTACAAAAAACAGGAAACTTGCAACCTCTTCCTGTTCTTTCTTGTTTTTTCACATGATCTACTTGCATTCTATAAAAAGCCCTTTGCAGCTTTTGGCATTCTCTAAGCAGACACTCCAGCAAACACATCTTCTTAAACTATTTCTCACTGTCCTCTGCTTTTCTCACTCTCTCTGTTTCCTCTGTTTTTTGCCTATAAAACTCCGTTTTTTCTCTGTAAATTTTGTGTAAGCAAATCAAGATGTATGTGAGGGAGAGGTTACCGAAAGAAGAAACATTTTTGAGGCGAAGAAGAAACCCATCTTTCTCTTCTTCGCTACTCGACTCCATCTACCGCTCCATTGATGAATCGAGCGGTGGAGATGGAGATCAGGGTTATGTTCGAGAGTCGACTGCAATGGTCAGGAAACAGAGCAGTTCTACTAAAGGAGACAATGAGAAGGTTAATCTTCGAAGGGCTATTATGATTGAGAATTGGGTCGAGAAGCAGAGCGTTCACAGCTCCATGTTCTCGAACTCCGCTTCGAGTTCCTCGGAGTCGAGCTCGGGAGCTGCATTTTCGTCTTCCGAAACAGATTCGAGCTACAGATCAAGAACAAAACCGAAGGCGGTCGAGCAGAGGTTCGTGCAGTTCGAGGAGAAGGAAAAGATTGAGAGTGGCGGAGGAAGTGCGTTTTCAAGGACGAAGCTACGAGCTTTGAAAATCTATGAAGAATTGAAGAAAGTGAAGCAACCAATTTCGCCCGGCGGGCGGATTGTGAGCTTCATCAACTCGATTTTCAATTCCGGCAATGTCAAGAAGCCAAAAATGTGTTATGTTGGAGCTGTGGAAGATGTGACCATTTCAGAGAATGTGTCGAATTCGAAATCGGCTTGTCCTTCTTCTTCTGCTTCTGCTTCTACTTTCTCAAGGTCTTGCTTGAGCAAACCGTCTTCAAGAGCGAAAAAATCGAGCAATGGCACTAAAAGGTCCGTTAGATTTTACCCAGTGAGTGTGATTCTTGGTGAGGATTCTCAGCCTCCAAACCACCTCAAATGTGTGTTTGAAGAAGACCCAAGCTTGATGCCAAAACCCTCTTTTCAAAAATATGCAAGGGCTTGTCCTGGTAATTATGATAAGCTGATCCAATCGGGTAAGAGTCGAACAGAAGACCTGCTCACATTTAATCGTAGCACAAAATCAACAAGTTACAGAACGACCGGGGCGGTTAGTCAAAATTTGGTGAGAAGTTTTTGCGACAATGCAGATGATGAAGAAAGTGATCATGATGCTGAGAGCTGTTCAAGTTCTGATCTTTTTGAGCTGAATCATCCAGTTGGGGTTGGAAGGTACATGGAAGAACTTCCTGTGTATGAGACTACTAATTTCAGAACCAATCAAGCTATTGCCCAAGGGTTGTTGTAATTTTCTATTTCTTTATTTTTTTGTGAAAAAAAATATGAGCAAAGTGATTAAGGGTTTCTACTTTCAAATTCTCGAGGAAGTTATTGGTTGTCCTACTTGTTAATTTCTTGGAGTTCACCCTAATAATTTGGTTTAAGATTATATGTCTAAGCAAACAAAAGATTCATTTGACAAGAAGTGAAAGCAACGAAAACATTATTAAAAGAAATGATACGAATAACTTTTTCTTTTCCATATTGTTTGATTGTGAATCTGAATCACCCATTAAGTTAATTTTTATCTAATTTTGTGGTTTAGATTCAGAGCCTAATAACATTAGTTTGATAAGCGAAGTTACTTAAAGTAGATGTACTTCGAATGACTTTTTAGCCGAAAAATATGTTTAGGTTTATAATCTAACAACATAGATATTTATCTTGATAAAATAAAGTTTGATGAGAAAACAATACTCAAATTATATATAAGTACTTCAAATCACTTTCTTGCCGAAATATTGTTGTGCGGAAGCACACCAACGGCTTCCACACACACGAATCGGTATTGCCAATATTCCCCCCGCTTTAGCAACTCGGGAGAAACGGGTATGAGGTTTTACCGAAAGACCTCGGCAATATGTTTGTGTGGTACCATTGCTTATACAACACTAGATGGCTCTCCCTTAGCCGATGTAGGACTCAAATGTGGCTCTAATCTAAGTCACCAAACTTCAACAATCTCCACTTTGGCGTGACTCGAACCATCACCAAATTGACGTCTTACAATCCAAATACAAATAGAGCTCCACCTTGACCACATGCAACCAAATTCCAAATGAGCTCTTCAACTTCGAACGATCGTGAGAGTCAGCATGAGAGTCACCATTCCCAAGCGTTGCTTGGGTTGTCACATACACACGAGTCAGTATTGCCGATATTCCTCCCACTTTAGCCACCCGAAAAATACAAGTATGGAGTTTTACCAAAAGACCTCGGTAATATGTATGTGTGGTGCCATTACTTATAACATGCTAGATGGCCTCTCCCTCTAGCCGATGTAGGACTCAAATATGGCTCTAATCTAAGCCATCAAACTCCAACTAATACAAGGTTTGAATTGACAACCTATCAACAGAAGTCTGATAAGACAGCGTTAGTTACTTTGAAAGCACTTTCTCTGTTAACGTCACATTCACACGCTTAAACTATAAGTGCTAACTCAAAAAAGCAGATTGAAAAGAGGGAATGGAAAAAGTAAAAACACACCAATCTTCTCTGCTAGAGAAGAGAGAAAGTGAAAGCTAGCTAGCAAGCAGTTGTTGCTAGGTGCTTTAGCACATGGCCTCAACCACCTTAAGTGTTTACGGGTGAAAATTACGATCACTTTAATCTCAAAGGGGGTTAGAAATCATTAACAACTCAGACCTTTTGGGCCATTTAATTATTGTCTGCACAGAAGAAATATTTTGTCAGCAGGATTGACAAGAACAAGAGAAATTTGTTGGTTCCTTCTGGTATAGTTACGAAATGACTGGTTGTTCTGTCACTTACAATATTCCACCACGTATTTAAGCTGAACGCAAAGAATTCTACCCGTCGCTCACTAGAAACAGGCTCAGATACATGATTGAGTTGGTCATTAGACACTTTGCAGCATCCATGAACAGGAATACAATGCTAGATCGTTAAAATGATCTCAATGTTGCAGAAATGGGATTAGAGGAATGAAATTTGAATAGGTTTTGGAGCTTGGGAGACAAGGAGGGGGCCACTCAAGAGGAATCTAAGAAGTCAATATATTGGAGGATCAAACATTATAGCATATATCCCAACAAACTTTTACACCATAGGAGAAAATAAAAGTTATGTGATCTTCAAATCCATATATTCTTGGCCCCTTTCATTGACTTTGAGTGCAATAGCTCTCAATTGGTTCTCAAAAGTGACACAATTAGAATAAAAAATAACAAAAATTTGGGAAATTATTTGTGAAATAGGAGATAGACTTTAGTTAATCAAGATTTTAAGTTAAAATATGGCTCTATGTATCTTGGTTAATCAGTGTGGTAACATGAGTTGAAGATTTGAAAGCGATACATGTCGTCAATTTATAGTCGTGGTTATCAATCTTAACTTAAGGGTGAAATGAGATAAGTAATAGTTTTTTGTTAAACTGTAAATTTGAACAACACATTTTGGTGAAAACCAACCTGATCAACAAATCAATAGTTTAAGCTAAGCGACGTAACTGATCCACAAAAGTAGGATATCAAACTCGCTATTTGCATGAGACGAACTTAAATTTTCTCACGTAATGGAGCGGAATACCATATTGTACTAATGATCGCATAAGCAAATATAAACAATTGGGAAATTGCAATGTATGCCAACTAAATTCACTTCATGTTTCTCAAATCCGTGGCAAGTAGTAGCCTGGAAAATTGATTAATGGATGGTGATTTAAAACAAATGCATGTGGAGCAAATTAATACGTAATTATTTTTATAAATAATATGAATTATATCGAGAGAGAGAGAGAGAAGCCTATATGTAGGGCAGTAGGAATGTAGGAGGACCAAGTAGCAGTTATCCTATCTGTGGGTTGGATCTTCTCCATATTTGTCCTCTGCAGAGAATTGGTTCGGTACTCTGCAATCTGCCGGTATGCCAGTTGCCCATTCTGCATTATTTGCATGATTTCCATAACATACGTGAGTCCAAAATTACATTATGCATTTGTCTCTTTAAACGTCAGATGTAGGGGATTTTATAAAGTGTTTTAGAGTACGATGAGTTTTTTAAACGTTAGATCTTTGTTCAAAAACATAAAAGTTAAGATTTGACAGTTAAAAAGTCTGAAATATCATATACTCTGAAGCACCATTGAGTTTTTGTTAAGCAATAGTTTCCACTACACTTATTGTTTGAAAAAGCAAACGCTGAGTATTAATAGTAGTACGAGTTGTTCAATATTTGGTCATTAAATAGAAAATTCATGTGAAGGAGAACTAACCTTCATCAATATTGTTAAAAATGATCAATAACATATTAATAGGTTTTGTTATTGGAAATGATATTTGAAGTTCACAGCAATAATGCGTTCTTCAATAGAAAACGAATGCGCATTCCATAGTTAGACCCTCATATTCAAAGCAGACATTGTTGGAGCTACTGTTTGTTTCAGAATGACTAAAAGTGCTTTGTAGATTAACAATCATTTTGGACATGATTTTAATCGAAAACTTTAAATGATCATTTTGTATACATTTCAATTTCAGTTTTACACTTAAAAAAAAAAGCTAAATTGAAAACATATTTTGGTAATATAATTAGTTTTCAGTTAAAAAAAGAAAAAACTAAGACATTATTTTAACAAACGATATTATTTATATTAAGACCTACTCCAATCTTTGGAGTAAAACTCAAATTTTAGGGGGTGTAGTCAAAATTGGATTTGAGAGGATTTTAAAAGACTGTAAAATCCTAGTGTAGTCAATTAAAAGATTTTAAAGGATTTTAGAATCCATCCAAATCTAAGTGTATTAAAAAAATTAAGATTTTGGAGGATTTCAATAGTTGTGGATTTTGTGGGATTTGAGAGCAAAAAGTATATATAACCAAAACTAAAAAGAATCCAACCTCAACCCCTAGGATTTCAAATCCTTCCACCACAATCCACCACAATCCATTCAAATTCTTTAAAATCCATATGAATTTTGTAGGAGTCTTTAATCCTATCAAATCTATCACTTTTTAAATCCTTTAAAATCTTAGTTTGACTACACCCACCTTAAAATCTTAGTTTAGGTTCTACACTTACCCCAACTTCCTCCAACCCTTGGGGCAAATATGAGTTTTAACCAAAACTCATTTCTCGGCAAAATTAGCCCAGGATTCCCCTAGGTTAGTGGGTCTGATCCACTATATATGTGTATTTTTTTTAGTTATATGTTTATAAATTCATTGAATCCAATGACTAATATCTAATATGATCAAATCCAACGGTAAAAAAAAAATCTAATAGTTCAAATTTAAATCTAACGGCTAAAGTAATTATAAAAAAAAATTATTTTATGTGTTTCATATTCTTTCGTAGTGTTCCACGAGTTTCATGGTGTGGGTTTAGTAATTTTTCAATATTTATCAAAATCTAAACATTTTTAGGTTAAAATGTTCATAAAATTAAATTAGGATAGTCTACATAATTTTTTTTTTTAAAAGTTACTTTAAGAAAAAAATAATCCTAAATTCATTCTTTAATAATCTTGGGCTACAAATTTAACTCGGAAGGGTTGGAGGAAAAAAACTGTTACTGGGTTAAAACCTAAATTTTTTGGGTTAAAAATTTTAGGTTTTAGACCAAGGGTTAGAGATGGTCTAAGGGGGTGGGGGAGTGGGCCAAACCTCACAATAGGCTGGTAATAATGTGATTCAAATTCACCTTTGGCTAAAATCAAACCTAAGACCTTTCCTTTACAAGTGAAGAAGAATACCATTACACCGTAGTATTAAGTGTAACACGCCCCGATCTTGATGTCCGGGGGACATCGAGATGACCACGTGCTGGCTGACACCCGAGGGTGATACAAGCCATTAAATGAATGCATATGCTGAGAACATGTGAAACATGCATGTAAATTTCGCGCGAACTACGCAATGTAACATTCCAACATAAACCTTATAAAATAATATAATAATATTCAACTGCCAACAATGATAATGATAGTGATAATGCATTACATGTTCATAGCATACATCTAATTCAGAATACAAGCAGAATGTGTTATTACAATGATGTCAAAGCAGAAAGGATGGCACGATGTCACTGGTAGGGGAATGCCTCGTAGCTCAGATCGTAAGCCTCGTTCATATGTTTTGAGGGGGCTCAAAACAAACATGAGTGGACCAAGTTGATATATAAGTAGTACAAACATAGTTATTCAACAACGCACTAACCCCCAAAGTTTATGAAAACTAATAGCATAATATGTGATAGGTTTTCTGAAAACCCTAGCATGCCATAAA